ATATAATATATAAAATATATATATATTAAATTAAATGAATATAAATATTATATAAATAATTATATACATATTCCAATTTATATGAATATATTTTGTTGCAATGTTGTTAAAAAAGAAAAAAGAAATAAAAATATCTATCTATTATTTTTTAATTTGACAAAAATGATTCTTGAAGTAGAAGGGGTCACCATGTAAACTATAAAAAGTAAACGGAGAAATTTGATTACTATGATTTCATTCTAGACGTTCTCTTTGTCTCATTTACATACACACGTATAACCAATTTTTCTAAAAGATAAAAAAAAAAGAATAACTTAGTTTTCAAAGTAAAAGAAGAAGAAGAAGAAGAAGAAGACTCGTTTTGTTCACGAAAGAGAAATTTACCTGACTGACTAACTGACATGAGATTCACGACACATAAATAATACATACATACACACACGCATACATTATAATATATATATATGTAGAACACGAAGAACGAAAGAACTTGGTTGATAAAATTGGACGACATTCCAACAAAATTTCGACTGAAAAACGTGCATCAAATAATTTGTGTATTTTTTTTTTTCTTTTTCTCTCCTTCTTCTTCTTCTTCTTCTTATTATTATTATTATAAATAATTTCTTTTCCTAGAGAGAGAATTTTTGTTACCTTACGTTAGAGATGGTGATTCTTTTTTTTTTATTGATTTGAAATCCTGTTGCATTTTTTTTTTTTTTTAATTTCTCATTAGTCATTTCTAAGAACCTTATACGAGAATTGTCGTCATAAATCATACGACAATTATATTTTTTGTTGTCTCGTATAATAGTTGTTAAGATTAATCAATCTTATTGTACGATGTATTTCATTGAACGTAGATCATTATAACGTTGGATGTTAATTCAAAACATACATTTCAAAAATATCAAACCTTTTTTGCAATTGATTTTCCACATATATTCGATGAATTTATTTAATAAAGTTATTTTCAAATGATTTCATATATATACACAGACACAAACACATATGAAATTCTATTGAAACTATTGTTAATTGTAAAACATTGAATTTCTAATTGAATTGTGGATTTCAATGAATAAATTCATTTAAACAGTTATAGACACACACATATATATACACAAATTGTAGAATTAGGTTTAATTTGAAGATAAAATTCTTAGGATGAAATCCTTGTTGATACGTCTGCCCTTAAGTTGGTAACTTGTTAGGTCCGGTATCTCTTAATATGGAGAGCATGAGTGAAACACAACGGTCTTGGTTAAACCCACGCGTTATCCTAAATAGAAGGGTGATTACGTACATATACATATATGTATATATATAAATATAAAAATATATAATAAATATAAAATAAATATAAAATATATAAATATAAAG